AGCCCAAGACTTAAGCCTCCCGACATAGAGAGAAGCGACCCTCAGCCACAGGAGCTGAAATTCATAGCGTGTGAAATGTGGCTGGGGGACAGGAAGCTGGATTTGGCATTTGTGATGTAATTATGCTCTGCAGTTTCTTAGCTAAAAGGATTTTAATTTTATGGATGATGAGAGGAATCCTATATGTAAAAGGTCGGCTCTCTTGCAACTGAAGTGCTTGAGTAGGTGGTATTACAGCAAAGCAAGACTCTCCTAAGGAGGGCTGGCTGCCATGGGCATTGTTCTTCTCCTGGGGTCTCCCTCCCCAGTCACTTCCGAGCTGATCCCCACCTTTTTGGCTTCTTGATAAGTCACTAGTGTGCCTTGCTGCTCTTCATATGGAATTTTTTCCACTATGAGATCCTCATCTGTCCACCCGGCTCTTGTTTTGTTCTGACTAAAACAAAGAGCAAGAAAGAAAAAGAGGGCAAGTGGGGGACAAGGTCTTTCAGATTGCACTGGTTGAAATTTTAGCTGTGTGATCATTTTAAGGTTTTTGCAAAATTGTTGTATTTTAAATGTCACACCAGAGTGGAACAACAATCAGTACATTGGTTTCCATTTCAACAGAAACACACTTTTCGTTGAATGACAAAAACCAGTACACTTAGCCTGGGCATCCTGGGAAGCACACACTATTTCTTTGAGAGAAGCCGTCAAATACAAGAGCCTGTTTCCTGTAAGACACAGGAATGGCTGCTCGTGTGTCTCAGAGTCCACGTTCCAGCAGCTCTGGGGTCTCAGCTAACATCAAGGTTACAGAAACAAAAGTTATATTTGGATCCTTGCTGTTAAATACAGTTGACCTGCTTCCTTTGAGAAGCACTCATAAACCAAAACCAGCACCCTGGGGCCCCTGATTCTGAAGTGCCCTCATCAACAGTGTTCCCTTACCTGGTGCATTAAAAATAATTACTTGATTTCTTACATGTTCTTTTTGTGAAGAAAGTGCTTCAAAGCTTGGGACATAGTAGCATCTCTGGGGCTTATCAAATGACATGCTGACAGGATATCAGATGATGAATTCATTTAGTATGCAGTTGCCTATTTGTCCGATTTGGATTTCAGTTTCCCTAAGAAAATTATCCAGATTCTGCTGTGCCAAGGAACCTGTTTGTTCAAACACATTGAATTCTCATCCCTGCCAGTTTTCACAAAACAGGCTAGCTGGGGGGAGAAGGGTGCATTTCACAGAGGTAGGAATTACAGAAAAAAGTCTGCCAGCCTCTCTGTGGGAGGCCATTCAACCCCATCTCAGCCACAAAGGAGAACAGAAAGCAAGGTTGCTTTAATACGCCTGTGCCAGAAGAAATATTGGGGTAGCTCAAACCCTGTTACTGTGCAGAATTAAGACCCTGTTTTTGTAGGTGGGGTGGTGGGAGAATAAGGAGAAGATAAGAAAGTATTCCTCTTTAATCAAATGCTCAGATTGTTATTCTTATAGCAAAGACATACCTAGCTAAACTTTAGCTTCTAGCTCAATCAAGCTGCATTTCTAAAGAACCCTAGATACACATGATGTTCAATTGAACTTTTATTAGGTTTTCTCATGTATTATCACAAAATACCATCACTGTGAGAAATAATGTGAAGAGTTTTATTATCTAAGTGAAAAACTAGATTTTCCTTGTTAGAAAAATAGAAGATTAGATGCAAAATCACTGAGATAATAGGCTTCATATTAGCGCCTTTGCCATGTTATATTCTGGAACTGCCCAATGGGGGCAACAGTTTCACTTCCCTGCTGACCTGGACATCAATCGCTGTTAGAGCAATGCCTTCATGATAGCAGGCACCCACGGCTCTGCTGGACAACCGAGGAAACGGCTCCTTATCCCATTGCCTTTATGATGATCTGATGTAGCAATCACCTGAAAAGAGAAAATTGGCCAATCATCAGGCAATCTTCAGTGACTCAGTGTGCTGCACCCTCCATTATATGCAAAGATGAGAATTCTGTCATAACTGGTCTCTGAATGGCACACTTTTCAGCATCTCAGGTTACTATTGTAGCTGCTGTGATATAGTCATAAAATGACATGTTACTCATCCATGTACACTACTGTGAACTAAGCCTCCATATCAGACTTAAAAAATATATTCACAGGCCACAGACACAAACAATCTTGATTAAGAAACCCATGTTAGGAATTAGGAATTACCTTAAGGGTAACTTGGAGGCTAATAAGAACTAAGATGCCATTGCTTATTACCAGGTGACTCCTTTGTGAAAATAAAATGCATTTGAAATTTGAAATGATGGTCTGTTAGTGATAAGGTCTAGAAAACAGGGCAAAAAAAAAAAAAAAAAAAAAAAAAACCAAACTCATCTACAGAGTGTAGAGCAGATAATGATGTGGAGGATTTCAAGTTGCCATGGAGATGTTCTCTGGCTCATTGGCTGTGATGCTGTAACCCATCAGAAGTCACCACTCTCTTCTAAGCTCAAAATGAATTCAGTGCTTTTCAAGGGGGATTTGTTTACCTTTGACCTTGTGCCTAAAACCACAGGGTGGGTGAGATTAGAGAGGTCTCTAGCATGAAGATGTACCAGCTATAAAATGGCACACATGCAATTACTGTAGCCCAGTAGAGCTCAAAAGGAGATTAAATGCCCAGAAGTGTAGTGTAAACAAGAAGTGGTATCTGAGATCAGGAAAGAGAAATGAGCATGAACCAAAGTTGCCAAGAAGGCCTCGTGGTGCTAAAATTGGGGAAAGGGTGGTCAGGGAAGGGGAGACAAGTAACATTGGGTTCATAATCGGCACTCAGTGAATGGCCAAAGCAGAAATTGTTGGGGTTGGGGAAGAAGAGAAGCAGAACAAGGTTGCTTGAATACTCCTGTTCCAGTAGAAATATTGGGGTAGCTTACACCCTCCTGCGCCGTGTGTAGAGGCAGGAAGCATATGGGAACTTTGTTCTAAAATAGGAATAACATGCTAACAAGAGAGTAAGGAAACCTGCCACCCCTGACTGTTAGAGGACGGTATTGGTGAATAAATGTTATGGTTAAGAGGTCATATTATAGGGGGCCTGAACTGAGATTTGATCTCAGAGGCCCTAGAGATTGATTTTAGGTCTGTGAGTACGTTGGCAATGTAATGAAAACCATATTTTACAAACAATTGTTAAGGGTTAAAGGTCAGAGTAGATTGTAAGAAAGTGAAAGTAGAGGCCAAGAGATGTGTTGAGAGTCTAGACTTGAGTGGTGTGTGTGGGCACTAAGAAAAGAAAGGAGTGTTTATAAAGAAGCATTCATAATTCAGCATTTGATAACAGAGGCTGGGGGTACTGAATGGCAACACCTGAACTCTCCTAAATAAACAGGCTCTGGGATCCAGTCTTAAGCTCAGAAATCAGATCTAAGTTTGGGCTAGAGGTCTGTTCCCACAGTGCTAACAAAATTTTATGAACAAGAGACAGAAAACCATGTTCCTTTTCTTGCTTTCATGGATAATTTTTTTATTGAAGCAACATTGGTTCACTACACTGTATATGATTAAGAGATATAGGATCACACCTCCCCAAAGGTATATCACCACACCACACCCACCACCAAGGCACCCATAGTCCTCTACCATTCTTAATTGGGCACCCTCCACACCCACCCCCAGCCTCAATTCCACAGTCAGATTTCTAGGGTTTGTTATTGGTTTGGTTCTGTCTGGTCCTTTGTTTCCGCAACCACATGTAAGTGAAATCTGCTGGTATTTGTCTTTCTCTTCACTTGTTTTGCAGTGATTTTTGACCCAAAACTCATTATTTTCTGTGACCCTGGCTTGTTTGATTGATTGATTAAGATCATTGGAATGAGGATAGTAGTTGTGGATTGCAATGTCATTGTCATGGTATTCATGGTTTTTCTAAACACTTTGACCTCTTTGGATAAAAGGATGCCCTGACTACCTAAAATTTTAGTAAGAAAAAAAAAGATCCATTAGAATCTGAAAGAAAGCAGTTTATAATAAGCATGAACAATAGGCTAAACAGTCCCTGATTAATATCGCTATTTACATCTCATCTCCCATTCAGGGATCCCAAGTTATAGTGGATAGCCAGTGCATAGGTAGATTTTATTGATAGCATGAAGACCCATAATACAAAAAAAAAGAAAGGAAAGGTTTATGCTGATGGTACCTGACATTTGGGATTTTTAAAAATCTATCAGATGAAGCGTTTAAAGATACTGTCTGAAGGGAAGCTTAGTGTAACCTGGGGTCATTACACACTTAGATCAGTCTCTGGATGAATTACCTTCATCTCCCAACAGGGTCTGTGCTGGCCAGGGTTATTGCTTTAATAATGCACATGTCTGCTGTTAATGTTTACCAGCTAGTTAATCAGAACTCTAGAGAATACATGCCACATTTGCATTGTTACAAGGTAGATATCATTTTACAATTAACTTCATTACAACTGGAATGTAATCTTACAGCATTACCTCTTTTCATTTTTCACTGAGAAGCTTTAAAATAATTATATCTATAGATACATACACTCTGGGTACCACTTATGCATATAAATGGCATCTATTTTCACAAGGATATATAAATATATTCACCCTTACCTAACCATACAATTGGTATGTTGTGTATTTACAATCTTCACATCAAGATGAGATTGTTTTGTATAAACATCATGTGAAATAAAATCTTTCACTTGTTTTCTTAACCATGCAATAAAAATCTGATTCACAAATCTGGCACTGGGGAACCATGTTAAAATTGCTGTAAATGTAGACTATCTGCCTATAATGAGTGTGTTTTAAGTAGCTCACTTAAGAGAAATATAATTGTTGTATTTTACATATAGACAGTAATTTAGAAATACAAAAAAAATTACTTGATTGCATGGTAAGTAGAATTTTTAAATTGTGCCCATGGTTTGAGCCAAGGAAGTATTTTCAAAAAATCTCACACTTATACAATAATGACATTTTTAATATCATTCTCTCCTTGTAGGCCACGCAGTGCAGATTATTTTATGCAAGAAGCTAAACGGATGAAGCATAAAGCAGATGCAATGGTAAGACCCTTTTCTTTCCAGATATGTTCTCCAAATTATGTTTGTACTGCAGCTTCATCTTTGGGCAATATAGCTAGGGTAATTATAAAATCTATTACAAGGATGGCTGGGTCTGTTAAATGGAGAAATGTTTATATAATCAAGTGCCATAGCCCAATAAATTATGACTTCAACCAATAATGTCTGACTGGGAGAAAGCCCTGGATAAATGAATATTTCAATTTAGTCCTAAGGTTTGAATAGTAACTAGAGGCAATCGAGTCAGTGGGTGGTAGTATTTTCTTCCTTTAAAAAAAAATCCTAGGTTTGCATTTTTCTGTCTTGTTAGACTGGGCAACCCTTAGCTTGGTCCAAGATTGAATCCCTCTTTTAAAAGACTTGTGTTCTTCATGTTTTTCTGCAAAAATGATTCTTCTGAAACTGTACAACACAAAAACTATTATACTGCACATAAGACCCTATAGTCACCATGATTTGGGGTTTTTAAAGAGTAGCTTTTTTTACTTGGATAATCTATTTTGGAAAGCTTCCAGCTTTCAAGTGATAGAAGACTTGTTTTTTACTAAAAGAGGTCATATTGTTGTTCTATCTTAATGTCTCTTCCAAAGGGACTCCTTCCTCACTAGTCATTCTAGTTCTGTTCCCTCTGGAGTTCCTGACTGACATCAGAATGCTAGAGATGAATAAGGTATTTCAGATGGCCTTCAGAGTATTACTCCAGAGTTGAAGATGTTTAAACCAAAGCAGTACCCCCTCTCCCGTTACTACTGATGTCACCCATCAAGCATTTATTTGATGAAGGTCACTGCCTAGATACATAGGAGATAGGGGAAATAAGCTTGCATCAGAGTATCAGAAAATAGAGGAAGGAAGAGCTGCAGGTCTTAGCCTCACAATCCCACAGTGTAGAGGAGAGTTCTGGTCACCAAAAAAAGCTGATGTATGTTCACTATTAGAGAAAAGCTTCAAATGTTAAAGCAGAATGAAATTTTCTTCCTGAATCACTCAAAGCTTACCAGAATTATACATCTTGCCCAACCCATCCTTTCCTGTGGACATTCAGCTGCAGCCAGACTGGTCCCCTCTCTGCCTCTAATCACCCCTCACTCATGTTAACCAGCAAGTCCTCACATCTACAGAGACTCACACTCACCACTCACAGCTATTCACACATATACACTCTCTCCTGCACACTCACACCTTCAGTGTCCTCCCTGAATCCAGCCAACTCATAGCATTCCTTCCCAGTGTCATGTTCCATCCCTGGAGAATCTTCCCTGCCTCTCTTGAGCTGCTTTCTTCCTATATCTCATTTGCATTGCATTGAACTCATTGTTTTGCATTTTGTTAATTAATCACAAACTGCCTTGCACCTTGAACTATCTTGTAGAGGCACATTTTCTCTTGCCAAAAATATTAAATGTTCCTGGAAGGAGCTTTTGTATCCAAGTGCATATTATATATTGAATGCTTTGGAAAGTAGTTATTGCATGAAATGACTTCCTTAATCTGAAACATTACCAAGAAACATTGCTCTGTAACCTATTTGGGTTATAAACTGTTCAAAATTTTGATTTACTAATGAGGAAGAGTTTTGTTCTGCATTTCTGTTCTCTAAGGTAACATTACTAATGATAATTTTTTAGAGGCAAGCCTTAGATTAGCAGTTAACTTGTATAATTCTATTTTGATTAATGAATGAATATTTGAACACAGGGGAGACTGTGCAGTCCAAGATTAGAATATGTATTTATCCACACAGAGTAACAATATATGGAACCAGAAGCTTAATGTTTATGTTCTCATAAATAGATTTATAAGAACCAGTGCAGATTCTTAGTTATCCTCATTGAGTGGAGAAAGATTAACATAAATTTAGGCAACTACAGATAATCTCCCTCAAATCATTTATTAATTTTCAACTCTGTGTCCATTTTAGTTAAGCTGAGTAGTGCCTTGAGTTTTATCTCTTTTACTCACCAAACTCTGACCCTTAAGTGAGGGCCTAACTTAGCAAAACAACTAAAAAACACCTAACAAGAGGATGGTATTGAGATATGAATGTCACTAATAATGTAAAAGATAATAACCAAAGTCTTAAACTATCGAAGTTGGAGTATACTTAAGTATGAAAACTCTAAATATAGAATCAGACTTAACAACTTTAATATATTTTAACATAGCATACCCTCCTCAAGCCCCTCCACCCCTTATGAGGTATGAAGTTGCCAAACCATTAGGGGTTAAAAAGAGGTAAGGGGAAAATAAAGTAACCATGAAGTTCTGATCAATGCTGATACCAGGTTGGTGCATGGAGTTGGTATAATTCTGTCACTTATACTAAATTTGTAGCAATTTGTGGAAACAACTAGAGCGGGAAGTACTCTATTTTGTTCTCTCAGCTCCATTCACAGGATTTTGGAACTGTTAAGTAAGGTTTCTAAAATAAAGTGTATAAACTATGTGTCAATGCCATTAAAAAAAAAAAAAGCTATATTTAAGGAAAACACTAAGACACTATTAACTCTGCCAATCAGGTGGAAAAATTTGGAAAGGCTTTGAACTATGCTGAAGCAGCCCTGTCATTTATTGAGTGTGGAAATGCAATGGAACAAGGCCCAATGGAATCCAAATCTCCTTACACCATGTATTCAGAAACAGTAGAGCTCATCAGGTAAGCACTGTGTTTTATTGCTGGGGTAGGAAAAGGAGGTGAGGAATACATGTAAGTACTATGAATACAGAGAAAAGAACATCAGCCTTGACACTATCAGCTATCAAGAGCCAATGTTTATGCCCCAAAAGAACATAAGATTTTGCAAGGCACTTCACATACCCTGCCTCCATTGTTATCTTTGTGAATGAGGCAGGACAGCTACTGCAACTCCTGATTGCTACAGAAAGGAAGCTAAATCTCAGTGAAATGTGACTTGCCTACTTTACCCAGCTAGAAAGCAGATTTTTGGACTTATTTAACCTCTAAGCTGCATTTTAAAAAGTCTGATTCACAACTAGTGTTTACTGAAAGGGAAAGGGAAATGAAGAATAAGCTGATCAGGTAATAGGGATGGATCATTTGTATAGTGAATGATAGAATTGGACTTTTAGTGAATTTAATGTAGTATATATTCATGCTGACTTTTAATGATGCAATCCTGAAACATATAATATTATAATGCAATATTCAATAAATGTATGAATGAATGTATGAACAAACAAACAAATAGGTGAGGGGGAACAGATCTAGTTTGGGTAAGCATAAGCTAAATTCTAACTTCATCAGTACATGATTCAGGAATACTTAATGACAGGAAAGGAAATGGGACAGAGGTGTTATGGAATGAAATTCATCATATGATGTACTAGCTCAGAGGGTGCTGGTGTTTTTTTGGTCTAAGTCCTACATGTCCACTGTCACCCAGCTTGTAATGTGAGCAGAAGCAGAGTTTCTGACAGGGGCATGTCAAGGAGTTGGGATGGGAGACACTTCTGTAGTGGAGACCTGAAAAGGCACACCCTAATATCTCTTTAATGAACCACTAAGAGAATTCCTTTAACCCTATTTAGAACCTTTGTTGTAGGGTTATGTTTATAGCTAATTCAAATGCTTGGGATAATGTCTAATATTCACTATGTGAAATAATTCTTCCCAAAACTAACTTTAATAAACTTTTCTGATGCTACAATTCTTTGCAACCTAAGTAAGATCAGATAGATTTTACCATGACCCACTTTTCCAGATGGAAGATTTCTAAACATCATAGGTTATAACCTTTTTGTTCTGTTTTGGCCCAAAGATGCAACTTGATATTTAACATCACTCTCCTTCAGTAAATAGTTCTCAGCCTTTGAAACTGTCATCCCACCATCACAGAACACATCATCTTCAAAAGCACTTCTCAAGAATGTTTTGAAAGTCAACACTGCCCAGAAATAGAAGTCATTTAAAAAAAAAAAAAAGACCAAGTGGAAAGTATGGAACTAAAAATATGATAACAAAATCAAAATTTCACTGGGTGACTCAATAGTAGATGGAGATGACAGAGGGTAAAATTGGTTGACAGAAAATAGAATTTACCCAGTCTAAGCAATAGAGAGAAAACAAAGGAAAATAAATAATTGGACCTCAAGCACAATGACAAAAGGGCCAACAGGTATATCATTGGAGCCCCAAACAGAGAGGAATGAGTGGGACTAAAAGAGCTTTGAAGAAGTAATGGCTGAAAGTTGACAATTTTGAGAAAAGACATAAACATACAAGTTCAAGAAACTAAGAAAAACCCACATCTGATAAAAACCAAAGTGATATATGCCAAGACACATCATAATTATATTTCTGAAAACTAAAGACAAAGAAAACATTCCAGAAAACTACCAAAGAAAATGACTCACTACCTATACGGCACACTGATTCAGGTGAGAGAACTTCTCACCTGAAATCATTGAAGCCAGAAGGAAGTGGCAGGACATTTTCCAAGTGCTCAAAGGAAAAAAAAAAAAAAACTGTCAAATTGTGAATTCTTGATTCAGTGAGGCTTCATTATTCAGGAATGAAGGGAAAATTAAAATATTCTCAGACAATGAAAAACTAAGTTTTTATTTCTAATTGACTCATCCTTAAAGACTTGGCTAATGGCAGTTATTCAAACAGGAAGGAATGAAGAATAAAAGAACAAAAACATAGATACATGCAATAAACTATCCTCCTCTTGAGTTTTATAAACTATATTGATGATTGAAACAACAAACAACCATCAGACACTCAATGCTGTTTGTATGCAGGGAAAAGAAGGAACCTAAATGGAAGTTAAGGTTTCCACACTTCACTCGAAGTGCTACAGCATTGACACCAATAAACTGGATAATTCACAAATGTATATTGTATACCCAGAGCCACCATTATGAAAACAAACAAAGAAGATACATTCAAAAGTTACTAAAAGAATTTGAGGAGTTTTAGAGAGACCGAGGCTTCTTCCCAGGCTAGTACTTAACACCAGGAAGGCCATGTTCGTTGCCAGCAGAAAGATCACTCCTGATCCCAGTGGTTGACACCCAATGGCGAGAAGCCAGACAGGCTCAAGTCTCCAGGCTCTCCTCAAGCTGGAGATAAACTTGGACCTCAAGGCCCCACTGCAGAAGCTGAATGTAACAACAGCCAAGCAAACTGAAGTTGGAGCATATACTCTTCGTTCCAGTCCCTCAACTGAAGTCATTCCAGAAAACCATAGGCTAGTGAGGTAAATGGAGAAGTTACCGGGAGTATATGGTCTTCGTTGCTCAGAGGAAAATTTTGACTGAACCAACTCAGAAAAAAAATATGAAAAATAAGGAAAAACCAGCCAGGAGCCACACTCTGAGAACTGTGCAAGATGAGATCCTGGAGGATTTTGTCTTCCCAAGTGAAATGGTGTGCATGAGACCCACATAAACTTAAAGACAACTGGCTAATAAATGTGCATTTGGATACAGCACACGAGAGGAATGTGGCTTGCAAGGCTGAAACTTTTTCAGATGTCTATAAGAAGCTCATGGGCAAGGATGTTAATTTCAAATTCTCAGAGTTTCAATTGTAAACTAGTGACTAAATAAAATATAATTTATAAAAACAAAACACTACAAATTCTGGTATTGTAGACAGTAAAATAACAGTTTAATTTCTTGAGCAATTTACAATAAGCCAGCACATCATGCCAGAAGCTTTACAAGTACTGTCTCGTTTAATCCTTACAACAGTGCTATGTGATGGCAGTATTAGTCTTATTTTATAGTTAAGGAAATATAAGCTTAAAGACCTTAATACATTTGTCTGAGCTCTCACAACTATGTGGCTGAGCTGGAATTTGAACACAGGATCCCTGGACCATTATACATACAGAGCTCCAGCTCTCTCAAAGTGTATGCAAGAAACTTGACATTATTCGGAGAAAGGAATCACCATATCCTTCCTAGTTCAGAGAAATACGTGCATGAAAGCCTCTATGTCCCCGAGAAACTGCTGTCAAAGTAAAAATTACTTAACAATGAAAAGGAAGTAAATCCAAGTATTTCATCTGACTGACTTATCTCTTGTTGGAGATATGTCTAGAAATACTGAACTTTGCCTCCTTCTTGTCAGCCACATAGCCATAAGTTAAAATTTGCAAAGATAGATGCATCACCATATATGTGGATAATTTTGAACTGATATCACTCTCAACAATCTGTAGCATTTGAATGTGTGTTAAAGAGCAGAAATTAGCTAGAAAGCCATCACAGTAATGTAATGCATAGGGAAAATGGAGCAGCATCAATTAGCTATCAGGAAAGAATTATCAGCAAGTGCTATGAAAAATTAAGTACTGGGCAGAGAGAACTTCCATCCCAGAAAATGTTCTATTGTTAATAGGTTTTTTTTTTTCATTCTTTTATTTGGGTTTTCTTTTTTTCTCTCTTTCTCTAGATATGCAATGAGACTAAAAACCCACTCAGGCCCCAATGCAACACCAGAGGATAAACAGCTGGCTGCATTATGGTAAGTACATCATATCAGCATAAAATGTCCTCCCACCCTTGTATCTCATCATTGGCATCCACGTATGAAATGCACAACATATTCCTAGAGCCTTCTAGCAAGCATAACCAAATGTAGTTCTAATGGTGGCCAGGAAGAGCGAACACCCTTTTTTGCTGCTTTACCATGCATGATGTGACTGCATAGTGATTGAAAATTGATAGTACATTACATAAGGATAGTTTCTATGTGTATGTTTAAATCAGATAGGCTGTATTTTAATAATTTGAATGTGAATTATACCAAATATAATTTATCTTGTGTTTAACATTTTAGATGCAATCAAAATAATTCATCTCTCTTTACATGTGGGATTAGTATGACTGAATCAAATAACCATATTAAAGTTCTCAACACGTTGAACTGGGGAGCAGTTCATTACACTTTGATAATAAAAGCATTTCTTTCAAAATGTTAACCAACGTGTAATAGATTTTTTCTATATAATAATCACAATGATAATGTGATTATAATAATAATTTTCCCCTCTGCATTTCCTCAGAACACTGCCCACGACTCTTCAAAATCACAGGACATGTCTCTATTGACTCCTGCATTTAAAAGAATTTTTTTTTTTTACTAATAAGAGCGAAATCACAAAAGAGAGGGTGTCAGTTAGTTTCTCATAATCACATCACCTGGAATCTGGTGTGCTAAGAGACTTCTAAGCTGTATTTAGTGTGTTGGTGTTCTAGTATGTCAACCAGATCTGAGTCAGCAAAATAATTATAATCTTAGTGAAACACATCAAGTAGAAGATTTTTCTTAGGAAGTGCTTCCCGTACTTGTTTTAAACTTCAAGTTCTACATTGGAATTAACAAATTAATAATGATTAGTAATTAATAACATATCAAATAGAAACCAATGTATAAATAAGTATTTAAAAGTCTGTAAAATAAAGATCACTTTCCTCAGCGACACATATATGATACTTATTTGAACTAATTATAGTCCAATAAAGTAGTTTAAAATGAAAGAAATAAAGGGCTTTTCTTTCAGCAAAGACAAAGTCCAGGGTGGCGCAAATCAGTGTAAAGTGACTCCCCTGAAACTCACCCAGTAAGCAGTGAAACTTCTGACTAGAGTTTCCTCATCCTGTCATGGAGGGAGACTGTCCTCTAGTGGAGGAAGAAAAAAATAACCACTCCCTCAGCCTCAACAAAGAAGCAGTAAAATTAATATAAAATGATCTCATGATTAATATATTTATGGAGTAACTCCTTAACATTTGAATGCTATCTTATAAACAAAAGGAGAGTCAGATATTTATAGGTAGGTGTATATGTATAATAATATGTACATGTGTGCAGAGATATATACATGTATGTATATGCACACAAATATATAATCATATAAATATTGAGTGCCTTTGAACCACGAGGTTTTTTATTAAATTTTTTTTGCAAAGGACACATGCTCTTCAGGGCCCATTTTTCTTTTTTTGCTTATAGTTACCGATGCCTGGCTCTCCTATACTGGCGGATGTTTCGACTCAAAAGGGACCATGCTGTAAAGTATTCGAAAGCACTTATCGACTATTTCAAGGTATTGTCTAGCTAATGGACAACATTGTTCCTTGTATTCAGTCACCCCCGTCAAAGATATTTTTGAGGAGCCTGGTAGAAGTCACTGCTTTGAGGATAAACAAGAGCCCTGTGATATCTGCACTAGCCCCATTTATGGCATTAAGGCTCAGAGAATGTGTTTTGAAAGCCCATCTAATTTATCCCCCTGCTTCATGTCCAGGTATTTTTATGGCCTCAAGAGAATGAAGATCCAGTTACCCATTCCAGTGTCTGCAGAAATTCATCTTTATAGCTAACATAAATTCCTCATACTCACTTAGAGCTTCTTCCTCTTAAAGCTAACTACTTAGAACTTCCTCTGAGCTATCTCCAATAGCTAATTTAATTTTTAATGAAAGTACTATTTTAAATGATAAGAAATGGCTTATTAGAACCCAGGAACACTGGGAAAATAGCAATGTGTAAATATGAGGATGGATTGGAAACCATGCTAAAGTTTACCTATATCAGGAAAAGAATCATTTTCACTGGAAAATAAAAAAAGGAAAACCTTTGATATACTGCTGTGAAGTGGATCTGAAGTAATAATTCAGTTGAGATTTCTGAGTCTCTTCACTGTCCAGCAAAAAAGAAATTACACCCTTTCTGCCTCCACCAACCCCTCATTAAGAGCCACAGCCATCACCTTAGATCCAATTCCCAGGCTCCAATTCTCAGGGATTATCTCTGATAACCAGACTGCACTGGGGGCTTTGTCCACCCTGTGCCTCCCACACAGTGGTGTGTGTGGGGTGAGCCATGCTAAGCCACGGAGATAACTGTCTGGGCCCACGACCATCATGTGTCATAATGATGAGAACTGACGTTAAGCCTTCCCCTTTACTTTGGAAGCTTAAGGCCAAGATTAATTGTTTTCAAAAATTTAGAATCTTAAGAGTTAATACTAAAGAGGGTTATTACATTCAAGAAAAATGCTTGAACATAGTAAGAAGCTGTAAGTCATGAGGTTATAACAGAACTTTTAAGACGTACAGGAAGTTCTTAAAGTATGTATGTAGTCCATGAACACATTCAGAATGGGTAGAGAACACAACTTACAAATCAGAATTTCCCCTCCTGGAGTTATTGGTAGTTGCCCTGAATTAAAGGCCTTCAGTGCTAAAATTCAGAGATTATGAGATTTCAGGTAGCAATGGCAGTTTGTCCATAAAGAATGTGTTTTATCAGTGCAGAACTGTCTGGGAAAATAGGGCTTTGTTCCCACCCATGTTTTTCACAGTCCAGGAGTCAAGAGGGTGAGTAGGAGCAAAGAGACCTGAGAACAATTGTAAAATGGTCACAAGTGAGGTGATTTTTTACCATTTTGATAACACTGCCATCAAAAACTAAAAATCAGTCATCACTTTATAAAGTTCTTTTTAACCAAAGGAAACACTCTGGGTAACCAAGTTGGAGCTGTTTTCTTGTGTCTGGAATGGAAAATTCACATCAGCATCATAAAGACCATTTTTTTCCTTAACACTCCTATAGATTTGTATACAAGAAAGCATTACTGGGCTCTCAGAGTGGAAATGTAAGTGCACATTTAGCAACTTTCCTTGCCAAAGGCAAAACTTCTCTTAATGCAAATAGTCAGAATATTCAAATAAATCAGAAATTTTGAAAATCCTGTCTTTTAAGAAAATCTATTTTTATCTGTTCCTTTAGAAGTATTCAAGAGCAACTTCCTTTACGAGAGACACTTTTAAGCTTCACAAGTTAAAACACTAGAATTTGATATCTCACATATTTTCAGGTATTAAATGTGTGTCAATGGTTTCTCCAAATATGCCCTACATTTAAATATAAGGTGTTCTCAATGTATTGGGGGAAGGGTTTGGGGAAGGAGAGGAGGTTTCCTGCTCTTTTTCCTTTTCAAGAAAATTAGGTTAATTTAAAGTGAAAAAAATATGGTGGTCTATGATTTTACGGACACTCGGGATTATGATTTAATTTGGTACAAAGGATTTGGGACATGACAGCCCAGGCTGTGAAATGGGTTCTTCATTTTAGCCTGCTGGGGTGCCCAACAGGCCGTGCAGCTCCCCCCACCCACCCCATAAGCTTCCAGTGAGGAAGCCTGTAACCTAGTAATTGTAACTTTCCAAATTCAATTATTATAAACCTGCACTTTTTTCTTTTATTGAACTAACAATGGTTTACCAACACTGTATATGATTCAGAAATATAAGATCACACCTCAGATGTGTGTTCCCACACCACACCCACCAAGGCACCCATAGTCCTCCACTGTGGACCATTGGGCTCCTCCACACTGCTCTCTATGCTGTTCCTCCTACTTTGGTAGCCTCAGTTCTATAGTTGTATTTCTGGGGTTTTATTATTGGTTTGGTTTTATCTGACCCTTTATTTTGTTTCTCTATATTCCACATATCAGTAAAACTATCCAGTGTCTGTCTATTTCTGACTTATTTCAATTAGCATTATTCTCCCCATCCCCCAAAATTACATCCACATTATCACAAATCGCAGGAGTTCATCTTTTTTTATAGCTGAGTAATATTCCATGTGTACATATATACAGTATCTTCCCTATCCACTCATCTGCGCTTGGGCATTTTGTCTGTAATATCATTACTCTCTCAGTGGTCACCTGAGAATTGTCAGCTGTTTAACTTAAGGGGATAGTACTCACTGCCAATATTTTTATTTTCCTGCAGAATTCATCTAAAGCTGCCCAAGCCCCATCTCCATGGGGGGCCAGTGGAAAGTAAGTTCATTTTCTCTATATTAAAAGCAATAAATGAGACACTCTGTGATGTGGAGCAATGTGCTATGTTGTTTCCAGTGCCCTGAGCAGCTGCCCTATCTCATCTGATACCAAAAACTCTTGTTTCTCTACTCTCTATCTCCAGGAGCACTGGGACTCCATCCCCCATGTCTCCCAACCCCTCCCCCACCAGCTCAGTGGGCTCTCAGGGGAGCCTCTCCAATGCCAATGCTCTGTCTCCTTCAACCATTGTCAGCATCCCACAGCGCATCCACCAGATGGCTGCCAACCATGTCAGCATCACCAACAGCATCCTCCACAGCTATGACTACTGGGAGATGGCAGACAACCTGGCCAAGGAAAACAGAGGTGTGTGTGCCTATGGGGATATATGCATCATTCACCCATGGTGTGGGGAGATAACCTGACCCAGGAGCCTTATGAGGCCAGTTTTCATCACTTATTGAAGGAGAAATAATAGCCATCACCTACCGTGTGGAACTTTTCCTGACCTCTCCCTCTCACTCGTGCCTTAACCTATCTTTATCTTTACTGCAGAAGACTTGAGACAGAGATAGAGCCAGAGATGACATAAATATATGATGCAGATATAGGCATATAGGTTTTTCTCTTTATACACTGAGCTCCTTGAAAGGAGGAATTATATTTTATTCAACTTTATATTCCTAAGACCTGCACAGTATCTAGGATACAACTAGGGATCTGAAACACGGAATTAAAATTAAGTAGTTAATGAGTATATTACTAGCTATTTAAATGATAGTGGTTCACAGGTGAAAGAGAGTGTTTATATATAGCAATATTATTTTTAAATAATGTTTGCTTTTACGGATTATAAAAGGAATGCTTATTTATTGTCTAAATTTGTAAAAAAAAAAATGAGAAAAATATTATTAGATCACCAGTAATCTGATCACCAAGAAATAATTACTGTTTACATTTTACTGAAGTTTCTTCTAATCTTTTTTCTCTAAACATGAATGGTTTGTACCAAGACAAGATTATGGTATATAAAGGTTTACATCATGTGTTTTTGTATATATTATCTATATATTATTTTTCACTTAACATTTTAACAGGTATTTCCTCATATTATTAACTAGTTCAAAAACACCATTTATGATCATTCTATCATACTGCCCTAATTTTGGCTATACAATCATAAAGCATCATGATTTTTCAAACCATTGCCTTATTGTTGGACATTTAACTTATGTCCAATTTTTTCTACTATTACAAATAATGTATGGATAAATATCCTATGTAAATCATTGTCCATTTTTCTGACAAAGTTCTTAGGAGGGAGTTATAGAAGTAGAATTTTGGAGTCAATGGATATAGATTCTTTTATGACATATATTATTATCTAACTTGATATAGCTAACTTTTCTTCCATAAGATGATACAAATTTACTATTCTCCCTCCAGCAAGGGGTGAGAGTGCAAATCTAAGCTCACTTTTAGGCCATTAAATGCAATTATTTTCTTATTTTTATTTTATTTACTTTTTTTCTTTCAGCACTGAGGTGACATGGTTTATAACACTGTCCATGATTTAGGCAAATAAGTTCACACCTCTTCAGATGCAAGTTCATCAAAACATGCATAGTCCTTTGCCATAGTCATATACCACATCCAATGCAAATTTTGTTCCCATGATATCATAAGCCTGCAAGGACAATTCCAGGATGGGTGTCCATGATGAGATGAGGAATATATAGCACAGAGAGGCACATGAGTCCTAAATACATGCAAATGATAATAAAACCAGAAAACCTATAATAGACAGTTATGAAAAATTCAATGGGAAGGAAGTGAGTATCTGAGGACTGAGGCCACCAGGAGGGACTCACTATAGAAAGTGACATGGAGCAGAGATTTGAAAGGTAAATAGCATTGAGTGCTGAAATGAAATGGAATGGATGTCACAGGTGGACATAACAGAAGGGACAAATATATAAAACTTTATATAGTCAGTTTGGGAGACCCTGAGCAGGCCAGGCTGCAGATGGCACTGCCAGCTGCCCACTAGATGCCTTCCACCAGAGGGCTCAGTGCCACACATTCATGCAAACTTGGCATCCTGTCCCTTGACCTGCTCCTCTCAGGCTGTTCTGCTCTTGGATCCCTGCCACAGCTCTCCTCCCAACCACCTGGAACTTGGATTTTCTCTAACCCCTCCCTCAACTCCTCCAGCAAGACTTTATTCAGTATATATATGAACTTTGGAAAACTCCCAGACATTTACTTTGAAGGCATGTTGTTCAGAAATCTAGTAATGACAGCATAGCAGCCATATGAATTTGTTTCTATTCACATTAAACTTGATCTTTGAAATAGCAGAATCTATGCATTTTCCATTTTGGCATACACTTCTACCTTTACCCTTCTATACCTATTGTAGGTGTGATTGGCCTTGGCACTCAATAACCATTCATTGAGAGGCCAAATCTAGAGATGGTCCAAGGACTAGAAGAGATATTTCACAGCACACCTCTGATTTGCACCCTGGAGCCTCCTCCCTTTGACTCTCTGCAGAGGCTCAGCATATCCCACAGCTGAGTGCAATATAAACAAAAACAGGGTCCATATTCAGTATGAAAGGCAGTTCTGCGTAAGGGCAGTGTAGTCTGAGAAAGTCGATTTCCTTTGCTATTTGACATAGTAAATATTCAATTGAATTAGAAATGGAAAACAGAGTGATTATTTTGATATAAAATGAGTTTTCTACTTTTGGGTCTTGTTCAGTCAATGCTAAAGTCACAAATATATAGAGACTGTGAGTGATTTTTTTTCCCTTAAGTCACTGTGATGTCCCAAGGTAGCATACTTAGTATGTGTGGCGCCTAACATCTCTCTCCATTTCCTAGAATTCTTCAATGACCTGGATCTGCTCATGGGCCCTGTTACCCTGCATAGCAGCATGGAGCACCTGGTTCAGTACTCCCAACAGGGCCTGCACTGGCTACGTAACAGCACCCACTTGTCATAGGGACCTTGCTCCTGAGCTGGGCTGTGCTCTCATCTCCATGGATGGCTCAACATTTCTGGACACTGTGCTACTGAAATTTCCAGCCACAGCATTTATCAAACTGCAGTGAACATTTTCTCAGCATCAAACAATGGTCTTTTCCAGGGCATGTGTGTCTGTGTGTGTGGATGTCTAAGAAGCTAACTGTGTATGTGTGAGATACATAGCTCTTTAGAACATATATTCTTTGTCTAGTTTCCATAATCCCAGGCTAGACAAAATGATCAGAAGTTTCTGATTAGAGAAGATACACTTACCCACACACACAAACACACCTACACACACACACACACACACACTTTCTATTTTAAAGCTAAACCATAACTTCTGAAAACATTCAACCAAAATCTCATGGGTTAGTTAACCAGGTGCAGTGCAGCACACCAAAAGCTTGACTGCCAATTAAGATGAACCTAATTCTTATGATATTGATTACTTTCAGTATTAATGTTCTATTCCCTGATTATTTTTTTGACTGTATGTATGAATTGGTAATTGAATAATGAAAAAGTTATTTTTGTGCTGAACGTTTACTAGGTTGCATGTTACCAAGTCCCCTGCCATTCGTCTGCTACCCACCGCCATCCAATTTGATTATCAGCTAAATGAGTTTATAAGCAAAGGGTTTCAGCTTCCACAGGTCTGCCCTGCCCTACCCCCAAATAACTTTGAAAATAGCACTGAGGTTTAGTTGAAGAAGAAAAAAAACTTAGTGTCTTCAAAAGTCGATCAACATTAAAGCAGCAACAACTATGTTTTGTAGCTAAGTTAGAAATTCAAATCTTCTACCCTTGTAACACAAGCCCCCCCCCCCACCCAGCACATGTTTCCTCTTTCTGCCACTGTGACATGGTGGCTGTCGAGCCATGTGGCATTTGTTGGCCAATGTTTTCCATGTCTTTTCTTCCACAATAGCTTTCTTCCAAGTTTTCTTGACCAAATTAGGACATTACCTAGAATGTCCTGTCACTAGGAGTCTATGTGTTGCTGACCTGAGAATTATTTGCTATCAAATTACTGTCTAATCCTCTTACTCTTTGTGCAGAGCAGGCCTTTAATGCATGTTGATCTGGGGGATGTGTTTCAAGCTTTGTTTATCAAGCTGCTCACTGTGCAGGTAAGTCATTCCTGCCGTGATCACAGTTCTGTTTGGGGGAGCGATGACTAGAATATCATGCTTCCACCCTGTGCTTCTGGTATGTTTACATCTTGCCCTGGAGTCCTTTTTTTTTTTTTTTCAATTAAGTTTACATTTTAGTTTTTAGACATCTTGTTTACAATTTCTGTCTGAAATATATTTCTTTTATAGTCTCTTGTCATGCCCTAGATTTAGTCTTCTTATTAAACATGTTTGGATATAGAAATATTGGTAAAATGAAAAACAACTCCAGAAAAGAAAAATTGACCTGGTCACACTTTATGAGCAAAAATAATGTCCTTGAGGCCTCTTGCTTGACAAAATTGCACTAGGAAAGTCTGACAAAGACACACCTGTCTGATATGGTATGTGGAGTAATCCATTTTTCAAGGTTATTGGTGGCACAAAACATTTATAATCAGTCTTCATATTTGCTTTCACTGGTGGTGAAATTCAAACAGTACAGAAATCTGGAAGGTTTGGTTGCAATGTTAACATTTTTGTCAGCCTGATCGGTAGGTAAGAAATAAGATGGCTATAATTTCCTCACTCTTGGCACCGATTCAGAAACTGTACAAGTAGTTGAACAACTTTGGTGAGTTGAAATTAATTAAAAATGAGCAAGTGAAGAGTTTGTGAAATTTATACTTGGCTTTGGACTTTAAGCATCTGGAAATAGTAACAGTATTTCTATTTCACTTTTACCCAAAGGAGGTACTCTCTACATCCCTTTCACTAATTTTTGGCAGAGTTCATGATCCCATCCTATGTTGGAAATTTATGTCTAATCTAAGAAACTTTGAATTCTCTTTTTGGAGGACTGAGGCTTAGATCTACTTATTCTTGATGAATTTTGATGAAATGATCAAACTCTTACATAAAAGAATGACTGTCAGGGTCCATCATGCATCCCAAAGTGCTTTACTGCTCTTGCCCATCTTTAAAGTTGCAGACTTTGGGGCAGTCTCCATGTGATGTGCTTACCCAGCTAAGTACATGGGTGGCCTCTGGCTGATTGTGCCAGCACTATTTTATCAGCAATATGGTCATCCATATTTCCCAGCAAAACTTGAAATTTGTTATTGGAGGGATGGTCAGAGTGTGTAACTTCACTCACTGTGCGCCTTTCATCAGTAGAGCTTGTAGGGGTAATGGTTTTTGTCGTTTTGGTGTAGATGTTTGGTAAGGAGTCATCTTCTGATGCTGCCTGTGAAAGTCATTTATAATTTGTTGCTTTTATTTTATAGTATTCACAGTAGAAATATTTTTCTTGTATTTTCTGATTATAAAAGTAATATTTGATCTTTGTGAAAATCCAAACAATACAGAAATCTGTAAAGTAGAAAGTCCCATCTCCTGGAAACAACTACTGCTCATAGTTTCATATATGTCCTTCTAGAACGCTCCCATTTAAACATGAAAGGTATATTATCATTTCTTTCTATTTGAAGACATATTATCTCTTCACAAGTTCAACTGACCTTATCCTTCCAGGACCTGCATAGAGGTCACCCTATATCACAATGTAAGAGTAATTTTTGAAAGAGAGTAACCCAAATGCATTCCTCATCAAAAATTGGGATTTGTTACAACTCACAGATCAGACTGACATGCAGAATTGTGCCTAGAAAGAGAGGTTTGGTTAAAACATATTTCTGGAAATTCAAATTTCAAATGGAAATGTGGACCGACTATCTGAAGAGGAATGTACTGGAAAAATATTCTGAAGAGTTGACAAATTGTGTACTAGACTGAACACATGGAATGCAATGCAATGAGACTTTCTGCACTGAAACTTATCCTAGTATGTACAACAATGATGTGTGTATTATAGAACAGTGATGTGTACATTTCTACATCCCACACATAATATGCACAGTTTGTATAAATGCATACATTTAAAAATATATATGTACAATACCGCTAACATAAAACTGTAGTATGCCTGAAGGATATTACTAGTGCCTAATATTGAGTATAAGTCACTGCGTGTTCACATCACCTTGGAAGTGCAGTAATTGTTATAAAACTAATCAGTGCAGCCAACATTATTTATGAATCACATCTTTGAAACTGTGCAGTAGTATATACATATATATTTTTAAATAACATTTTTCACAGTTTTCCAGAGTTACTGTTGAAATCTGTATCGCCAAAAAAAAGCAAGATTTTTTTAATGATGTAGACACTCTTCAGACCCAGTAATCTGTGTGTGATTTCCTGTTTGTAGATACCCAAGAGACTTTAGCAGTCACCAGCCTTAATGCATGTACAGGATATAATTGTGACTTAATTTATCTGCAGTTTTTAATCCATGTGAAATTGGAATTTATAAACTGACTTGGATTAAATATGTCTGCCTTTCTAAGGTTGCAAATGTTACATTAAATGATTTATGTTGTAAATGAGCGAAATCGAGTTGTACGTTAAAGATGTTCACCCAGTTCTGTGAATATTTTTACAAGGAAATTTCAGAATCAAAATATGTTCAAATAAGTATTCTGGTTCCCAGTTCATAATCTTTTTAGAAGCAATCTTATTGTTTTGTGAATTTTTTAAATGTAGCTTCCACAGATTATCATTCTAAGTCTGATTTTTTCATGGGGAAAAGGGATTATTTTTTCATTGTAACTACAGTTTACAACATGTGTTTCCCATTCTCCAGCACATATATACATATGTGCATTCTTGAGAATACATCCAGTATCCCAGAAAATGCTGAATAGGCACCATGAGGAGTTCATGCTGACGACTCCACTGGTACCTGCCCAGCTGTAGCACTAGGACACTGTTTATTCAGGATCCCTAACAGCACAAATTGATTTTCTGTCTTGTGTGTGCCTGATTTTTCCAACTCAAATCAACATGGTGGAATAATATTTAAAATATTTGGTTAATTGACTAAAATAAAAGCATTTTGAGCTAAAGAAAATGGAAACATTAGACCAGTTGCTTGCCAAGACACTTGCCCCAAGTGGGAAGGGTTTTCGTTAACCTCATTTTTATTCTTCTCTCCCTCCCTTTTCACTAACTCCTCCCCAAACTAAACTAAACAAAGCAGAAACAATAACAAAAACAAAATCACCACATCACCTTACCCAGCCCATAAGCTGAAATTCAAATATGGCTTGACATAGTGCAGATCTGGCTCAGTCACCATGGAGACCACCTCATCCAAAGGTGACCAGGATGGGGGACTTGGCATTGCTTGCACCATGGGCCATTGAACTTGATTCTTTTTCAGGGGTGGTTTTGGTAAAGAAATGCCCTGTTGTTATTCAAGAACTGTCTTGCTTGTATGTAACTTTTCCTGCTACTCAGTTAAATTTGTTCCTATCAAAACCATATTTTTAATAAGCACCACATTTTTAATGAAACTTGAATCAACTAGGGTCTAAAAAAATTTTTTTTAATGAAAGAAAAACACCCAACAACAAACTGTATTTCCAACAATGTAGATTCAGAGTTCATTTCCTTGTTTTCCTCACATTTTTAATGAAACTTGAATCAACTAGGGTCTAAAAAAATTTTTTTTTAATGAAAGAAAAACACCCAACAACAAACTGCATTTCCAACAATGTGGAGTCAGAGTTTATTTCCTTGTTTTCCCATTCCAGAAGAGCACAATTTTTTTTGTTACAACTTCCTGAAAAATAGCACAAGTGTTCAGACATGAAATTTATGTTCTTTTTGCCCAAACTGAACTATTCTGTATTTATCATCAGAGGGTCAACTTGTTTGCCTGGCATGAGGAAAATGATAAAACTCTGTCCTCATGCTAATTACATCTGACCACAGTTTTTGGTCTTTATTATTTAATTGGCACCCTGAGGTAGCAGGGGATAAATTTTGGATTTGCTGCAAAGGGAATAAGAATCACAGTTCTTACAGTAATGGGTATCCGGGGGACTAAATCCCTATGCATTGCTTTGTAAATCTACCTCTTATAGCCAATTTTAAACAGATTGATCTGAGGAATGATTTTAAGGTACTAATTGCAAGTCAGCGCAAGGATCAGCATTTGTTCTTTACATATCAGGCAGTAATAATGAGGCCTGAAAAGTTGAATCAAGAACTTGATTTTTACTCCTCTTTAACATGGGAAAAGGGCACCCTAAAATATTTATCTCCACATATGATGTAATGGTGCATCAGTGTTTAGAATTTGCAAGCAATGCTATTTGGTTATAAAAATAATTACAATATTCTAGTTTTCATATTGTTCTTCAACTCTTTTTCAGTTTTTCATAAAACAAAACTCATTTTTTCCCAGTACTTATGATCTCTTTATTTCTAGATGTTCAAGAGCAAAAAAGAAAATACTTAACACTGAGGAATGTGCATTACTTGACTAAAGCATGTTTTACCCACAGTCACCAAAGGTATCTGACTTTCTAAGGAACATTCTTGGCTTCTCCTCTGTTAGGTTTCATCCTACAGCATGCATGACCATGAAGTATGGCTGGTAATTTGAAATATCAATAATTCTAAGTATGTAACACATTAATCTTTAGTAATAGATATTTTTGTAGCATCACCAGATGACTCTGATGCCTAGCTGTGTAATGAAATAGCAATATTAAAACTTTCCTTTGAGTAATTTGCAAACAGATTATGAATCCCCTGAAGTTCCCAGGGATACCAACACAACCCAAAATTCCTCTGTGAGCTGGATTGACTTTTTTGGTTGTTGCTCATTGCGGTTCTTCTAAATTCTGTAAGTCAGATTTAGTCTTTTGACTTTTTAGAACAGTTGTTAGAGACAGTATGGGGATTTAAGCAAGCAAAGAACATTTGAACCCATTTATGGGTTCAACATTTGAACCCATTTATATTGGAGATGAGAAATCAGGAAAATAACTGGGGTGCCCAGATACTCTCCTCCTTCATCTGCAGCACTTGACTCTTAAATAAGGTACTCTTGCCTCAGTTTCCTTTACACAAAGTGTAACTCAAAACACTGACTACCTCACTGAGAAAGGGGGAGTATCAACAGATTTGGGCAAACATTTTGAGATCCACACACACCGCCGCTCCCCCCCCCCCCAAACATGGTCATGCTTAGCAGGACTTAAGTGTTACTATCAGTACAGATGCAGCAGAAATATACCATATGGAAGATGGTACTTTGTCCCAGCCTTGACTAGGTTCCAGAGAACCAAGAAAATGACAGCCTCATAGCCATGGGCCCCTCCAGAGAACAGAAAGGTGACAAAGAATGAGCACCTCAGCCTTAGCTTTAACACTTTGACTCCATCCTTCCTGTAAGTAGAGCTCTAAAAAACCATTCAAGGAGTGGGGAGTGGTGTCTGTCCTTGCCAGGAGCATCAGGACAGCCCAGTACCATGCAGTTACAATCCCACTCTTCTCTTTCTCCTCCAGTCCTGGCCTTAAAAATGCCAGGGATAGGCCTCCCCGGTGGCGCAGCAGTTGAGCGCTGGGTTGTGAAGCTGCCCCCAGCCTCTGCAGCACTGGTTCGATCCCCGGCTGCTCCCCGGCCACCAGAGGAGGGTCCCACATGGCGCGCAGACCTCTCCTGCCGCCCGCTGCTCCCCTCAGCAGTGTACTTCGGTCCTTCTGCCTGCTCTGCTCCCCGCTCTGGCTCTGGTGAATTCTCTCACCCTCTCGCGCTTCTGACTGTACCCAGTGCTTGTATAAATAAATAAATAAATCTTTTAAAAAAAAAAATGCCAGGGGTATCCAGATGGAAAGGGGAAGAAGGAACACAGGTCCAAGTTTCCAGTGAGAAAAAGAATTTGCATTGAACACCATGCTTCAAACATCCCGTTAGAACAGCAGTCTCATTTCTTGCACTGTAGTCGATTTCTTTGAATGTTGGGAGGTTGAGTCTCTTGCTGTGAATCTTGTACCTCTGATGATAAATTTTTTGTTTGGAGCCAGCAGGTGGACAGCTGCTCTGGGACATTTGTCCCTGAGAAAGAAAATCTGTCATAAGGGACTTGGGTGTGCCATGAGCTCCAGGAAAGAGGAAACCTCTCTTGAGAAAACAGATGGATTTGTTCTCAGTGGGTTAGGTAGTTGCCACAACATGTTATCATAATTGTAGGTTCAACTTTACTAGTATACCCAAAGAGAGAAAAATCAACATAAGAACTTTGTGATTTTTGTGATGCCCAGCTAGAGACTGATTTTTCTAGCACTCATTGCCGGAATGCTGGAAATCTGACCAATGAGTGAAATGATTCATACCATTGACTTCAAGGCCCTAAATGATGGATTGAAGTTTGTAACTTTTACCTGATATTTATGTTATTTAGACACAGGGGCTTTGTATCCCCGAATCAGTGCTTTGAGTTTAGCCAAAATAACCATGAAATATTCTAAAGAAGCCCCTTCTTTGCCTTGTCACCTGGAATTCCTTTTCTAAACTTTCTCCAATATAAAAGAATGAAGGCTGAATGAAGGTCCTGAAAGACCCAGCCTGGTTAATGCCCAAGTCAATACTAAAGTCCTTTCCACAGGAACATAACATCTTATCCCATGTGACTTTTGGGTATTCAGGTAAAAAAATAATCTGGAGTGGCTACACAAGATCACCTAGCATGAGGAGATATGGCAACGCTACCTAGACCCTTGGGTTTCACCTTTCCTTGGACAGAACGCTAAGGAGCTTCTAAGTTTCTTTGAAATCAAGTTTCAAGTCACCATCAGAGCTGGAATTTTTAGTTCCACCATTTTTCTTACACTATTCTTGGACACTTTTTCATGGAGCTGGCAACTCAGGTTCAATATTCTGAAACAGCATTTCAAATTCTGCATCTCAGTATTGGGAACCTGCTTATCTTCCCATGAGATTTTTCCGGTGATCCAGTTTTAACAGCCATAAAACCAAATTGCTGGACCTTCACCTCTTCTTACAGGAATTGGTTGAGGATTGTTTCAAGAATTGAAGAGAATTTTAAATAGGATAATTCTTTATGCTGTAAAAATGTATGTATTGCAGTATTGATTAAAGTGCTATCTTTAAAAGGTACTGACCCTTTTCATTCCTGTCTAGTCCATCAATATTAAAAGAGCTGAAGTTCATTTTTGCTATGTGATATTCCTTATAGGCTTCTTGGATATAGTTATGGAGAAAGTCCAGAATCTCTGTAGATAGTCACTATTTTAATCCAGTAGGCTTACTGGTCTATTAAGCATCATATTACCAACACTATTACTGCGACAATCATGTGCGCCTATCTGTATCTTTAAGTATGTGATAAATATCTAACAGAAGCAATTAAAAAGACCAGTGGCTCTACTGAGGATCACCTTCCCAACTTTTCTCCTGGATTTGTGACTACTTTTTCCCAGGAAATTTCAGTAGATCCCCACTAAGCACCCAAATTCCTTACTCCCACGGGGGTCTCATCTCCCAGGCTCTTCCTGAGATGTCTTCATG